CTTTCATTTGAGCAATAGCTGCTGGAAGCACGATAGGCTAAAAATGGACAAAGTTCAAAGTTCAAATGTTCGAAGTTCATAGTTCAAATGTCTTCAACTTGAATGCCCCAATATCGGAAGCCCAAGAATCGCCAAAAGGTCACATGGTTTCTGACATGATAAATACGCATATTTACTAAGTTGCTTGATAGAGCCTTTATGTCATGCCTAGGTAGACAAACGATAATGCGGGGAGGAGGGGGGGGGGGGGGGAGTCACCTCAAGCCGTTGTGTGCCACACCTCTTGTCCGAGCCTGGATTACCCACTGTACACTTAAGAGTTCGCCCCGAGATATTTGTAAATATGGGTGTTAAGTGTCAAGATGCCTTGGAGTGGGTTTCTATCAAGATAGTGGTGAACAATAGCCACTGGATTCCATCACGTATAATGATTTCCATACTAGGTACGTTGCATTCGTAAGACTCAAAAATCAAAGGAGACTTTTGATGACTCTTTCATTTGCCTGAATCTTCTACAAGACGAAGGGAGCAAGTAGGCTCTAGATTTCAGGATGTTCCAACTGCTGATTACAAGTCGAAAAGCGTCTTGAAAAGCCTTCAAAGTTTTGAGAATCATACTAATTGAAATTGATATTTATTGGCTTACCAAAGTTGCTTTAGATTCTTGTGCGATTTACTGGATTTTTAACGAGCTAGTTATAAACTGTTGTTTCCAGGCAGAATGTCTATGCAACACTAATGACAAACTTTTCGGATACATAGATGCTTCACACTCACATCTTTCGGTTGACGACCGGAACAGCCTTCCATTTGTCAAACGTTTTGCTGATTTCTGCTTAGAAATTTCACAAAGCAACAAGGAGAAAAAACGGTAAAATGCCCACCTCTGCATGATGTAAACATGAGTTTATGTGACTTGTACTTGTGGGCTTTGATCTTTATTATTGGGATTAAACTGGTCGTTAGCTGTAAACTTTTCACAAAATCTATATATTAGTCATAAGGAATTTTTTTAGAGATGTGACCTCCCACAATGGTCGGCCGCATTCATCGTGGCATGGGGATCACACTGAGTGTCGAACTGCGATGCACAGCCGAGTGAATACTCTGGTAGGGCCTCCCAAGCTGTGAAGGAGTTCAACGTTTCCGGGTACGCTCGAATGCTTAGCTAAGAGCCCCCATGCCAGATTCACCACTGTCTAGTTTTCTGGTGGCTAGGCGGTTCTCCCCGCTCCACATTCAAGTCAGCGATCGTCCCGTGGAAGTCAAGAGTAGGTCTAGTCGGCAGTTAGAAGAATAGAAAGAAACTGTGTACATCGGATCCAACGGTCCCGGGTGGTAGCAAGAACTATGTCAGGGTACTCAGAGCACCTTTCAGATTGGACAAAAACGACACGTCTGCCCGGACGACATGCCATGGAGACTGCCTCATGCTCTGCAACTACAACGCCAGGACAGTCTCCACAAACGCCGATCCACGCTCTTCTCGACGCTGCAGAGCATCTCAAGTAGCACATCAGCGCTCTGCAGGAAACGAAGTCAAGGAAGAAGGATGTGCGACAGATAAATGATGGGTCTCTCATAATTTATGGTGAAAAGGTTTTCGAAACCTTAGGGACGTTGGCTTTGTTGTCCACCGTCCATCTTGTCATTCGCATGAGATCCTATCACTTCGATCAGCCATCCTACGACTATGACCTTCCACGTCGGAAGACCATCAGCAAAGTCAGCTAATGAATCAAAACTAGATGCTTTCAAGAAGATGTAGAGGGGGTCGTCCGCAACGAGAAGTTGGTGCATGTTTATTGTGGGCGACTTCAACGCAAAGATGGCATATCACTAGAAAAGGAATATAATCGGGAAGTTTGGATATGGACTTTGGAATGAAAAATGCAACGGCTTCGTTGGGCTTCTCTCCGCCGCGCGACTTTTCCTGGAACTTCCATCTTCATTAAGAAAAAACCCGATGGATATGGAAATCGTTGAATGGAAGCCTCACGTGGAGATCGACCACATTCTCACCAACCGAAGGTGGAGCTTGCTCGATGTCTCAGTAGTTCCATCCTAGTGGCTCCGATCACCGCCTCCTTCAATCGAAGATACGATTCAGTCGCAGGCTGGAAAAGAAATTCTGTCACAGTACCGCAAGAAGGAAAAATGTCGTTTATGACAGTAACAAGCTGGAAGAGCTCATATCAGTTTATGACTGGCCCATCATGGAGGACCCAACGTACGACACGACCACCTTCTGAAGGTATTGCATCAAGGAACTGCTCGAAGAAAGAAAATCCTTAAGGCAAAATTCGAATCCATCCCGAGTGACTCACAGCCAGCGACAGATGCAGAACAGCTTTGCAGGAGAATCTCGGGAAGTGCGGGCAAGCCAAGATACAGGAAGGAGTCGAAGGAAGACGAAGTCTCAAGAAGTGCTGAAGGGATCTCTGTGAATATCACGTACCGCTGGCTGCACTATCAAACAAAGACGAGACTCCGACAACCTCCCGACACAAGATGGAATCTATCGCGAAGAACTTCTATACCAACCTCTTCCGCTTATCAACACCCGTGCCGATGCCTGTTGTTCCCACTGGAGAAGTACCACCACGAATTTTACCTGCTGAAGTGCGTATTGCGATTCAGACCACGAAGACGTCCACAATTCCAGGACCAGACCATCTTTTCGTCAAATTTCTGCGAGCCGGAGAACAACGTCTAAACGAGATTCACGTGTCTCACCTGTCATCTTACCTTCAGAATCAGAGGACCAGTGGAAAACGCTAAAAACCGTCCTTCTCTTCAAAAAGGGTAAACAGAAGGTTCTTCTTCAATATGTCTGCTGAGTGTGCTGCACAAGCTTTTCACGAAGGTTATCTTCGCTCGCATATCTAAGACAGTGGATGAAGCCCAACCCCAAGAACAAGCTGGATTCCGCAAATGATTCAGCTGAATGGACCACATTCAGACGGTTTCCAGGGTCATAGACTGCCGGGAATACCGACTCCCTCTCGTCCTAACCTTCGTCGGCTACGAGAAAGCCTTTGACAGAGTCGAAACCAACGCCATCATCCTGTCTGCGCATGTCGATCAAGGATTGGACCCAGCTTACGTGAGGACACTAGCCGACTGCCAGAAAGACTTTACAATAACGATGCAGCTGTTCCATCGCCCCCTGACCATCCTACTTGGGAAGGGGGTTCTACAAGGCAACACAATCTCACCAAAGCTGTTCACTGCGGCCTTGCAGTGGGTGATGGAATCACTGGACAGGGACGAGAGAGGCATAGAGTTGATGGGAGATTCCTGTCTAACCTTCGTTTTGCGGACGACGTCGTTCTCTTTTCGAGCAGTATCACTGAAGCAGAGACGATGCTGAAGAAACTAAACGAGTAAGTGGAAGTTGATCGATTGCGAATAAATCACTCAGTTCATAACGCCCTTTACCAAGATGCACAAATGGAATTGGAAGGCACCCCTATTATGAAAGTCTTCTTACGTGTATCTTGGACGTTCGATGAAAACATGGAAAACGAAGGAAAGAACTTAACAAAAGAAGAAGAGTAGCCTAGGCCGTCTTCTTGCCTTTGAAGAAAGCCACTGACCAACTGATGGACCCGGAGCTTCATGCCCACCTGTTCGATTCAATCGTTCTCCCGGCGTTCTGCTACCCAGCTGAGACTTGGGCCGACACTGTAACCACGTTGAAAGCTCTGCGGATCATTCGCAGAGCGCTCGAGCGCAGTCTTCTGAAGATGAGCCGACACAAACAGCTTCTTGTCGGACTTCGCAACGAATTTGAGAAGAATGTCCCGTCTTTGCAATCCAGCGGAATACGTTGTGGAAAAGAAACATAGGTGGGCCGGGCATATTATGAGAAGAACAGACGACAGATGGACACTAAGAACATCGCAGTGGATTCCTTGAAAGGCGAAACCTCCCCGAGGAAGACCTCTAACGAGACGGGCAGACGTGTACGTGGAATGGATGGGCCAGCTGAGAAGTCAGGTGGATACGATTTTCGCCCTCCGAATTCGAGGACGCAGCCACTGACGTCAACCAATAAGATCGTAGATGTCCGAAGCAGGGACAGGGATTAATGGAAACTTCTTACTAGATGTTGTTAGTATCCTAGTTAGTATCCTTTCCTTGTTAGATGCTACAACTAATCGACCCGTCCGCACGTCACGTGAGGACGGGTCGATTAGTTGTAGCATCTAACAAGGAAAGGATACTAACTCAGTTTCGCCTTCTGAGATAATACACATATATTTGGAATCAGCTTTGAACGATGATTCCAAATATATTGTGCTTAGCTGCTTAGCTTTATTCCGGAGCGGGTTATGAACTTGCCTTTGCGAGTAATTAACAAACTTCTGAATGTCGTAGACGGCGTATAGATAAGAATCTGCTTGAAAAAAGTGCTAGGTTGAACTTGCATCAGATTGATTATTTCGATCTTGAAAGGGAGCATTATACAATTGCAAAACCACGAGCATTATATGATTGCAAAACCACCTAAACGTCGACACCGTAGCATCCATAGCTGGAGGAGCACGCAAACTTTGCATAGATTATAACTCGAGAATAAGGCTAACAGGAATGGTCAGAACTCGAAGTGGCCAAACCAAACAAGCTGTATACCATTCGATGCAGTATGAAACGCTGACTTCGAATCTGTCTTCCTTATCTGCTTATCGCTTCTGTGAACGAAGCTACAAGCGGTTTGTGAAAAAATCATACATAAAAACAGCGAAATTGAGCACAATATTGCAATTTTAGCTCAGCTTCTGGCTTTAAAAATTTGGAGTAAGCTAGCTGCATGTTTTGGCCCAGCATTAAGGCGAACGTGGCTCTCTACGGCTAAATTTTCATTTTCACGCATAATTTCTTAGCACAAAAATGGCCTCCGCTGATGTGCACTTTTGAAGCTCCACTTCAAATTGTTCCCGTCTCAATGCTACGAAACCTGTCATAATGAAAAATTATATACAACAGCTTCCATCTTGAAGTAAATGCTTTATTGTGCAAAAAATTGAAACATTCATAAACAAAATAGGAGACATTCGTAAGTGTGCTTTGTAAGCATACATGTTGAATGTCTTACTTTTTATAAAAAGCATAGCATTTGCACACTAGCTTGATATTGAAAGTCGTAGCCTTTCGTACACATTCTCCATCTCTGTAATCCTGCAATATCACATAAAGTTACTTTTGACATTTCCAGCAAGTTGCTTATGACATGTATATTAAGGAAGCATGACGAAATTTTCTGGCATAGAGCATTTCGCTCATGGTGCCCGAACCAAATCAGGATGTTGCCCCTGCCCCAATCAAAAGAAGGGCAAAGATAGGGAACCTAGTGTATAAAGTTAAAGGTATATTTTGAATGCACGAAGAGAGAGAGAAGTCACAAGGGTTAGTAGTGTAGAGAACATAACCACCGTGGGCTAGGGAGTTGTGCTTATCGAAGGTACTACTTTCATATTAGAGCAGGGTAAGCCCACTTCTTCGCATTAGCAGATCAAACGGTGGAGGAATAAACACTTCAATTAGACACCGCCGTTGCGGATTACTGATCCCAACACGATGCGCAACAGTAGGACGAAAGGACCGGCAGCTCGCGTGCCTATTTGAGATGTTCGTTCCTAACCAGATCGAACCATCGCCACTAACGGTTATTTACATGTGTAATGAGACTGTGCAAGCCAGTAGTTTTTGCTTGTGAATTCTGAGAACTATTCGAAATTTTATAACAACATTATCTCTGTAAAGTTCTAACGTGGAGTCGAAGGGGTAGTCAAGGTTTCTTCATCGGACTTTCGAAGTCAAATCTCAAGAAATCAAAAAGTATTGAAAAAATTTTCTTTTGCCTAATCTCTGCCGCGGCAACTCGAAATGTCGGCAGGGGGACTTTGCATGCAATCGGAAAGTTCACACCTAGCGCTCACATCTACCCCACACCTTCGCCTCTCGTCTCTCTCGTCTTCACATTTTTTCTGCGGCTAGGAGGGAGGGAGGTGGGGGGACACGAGCTATCCATGCAATGCTGTCAGGTTATCGACCTTCTGGCGATATACCAGGCTGCTAATACTATAACAAGGAATAACAAACTCATCTAACATCTTAAGGAATTTTGCAGGTGAGAAGATAAATTTGCGATATGTTTCGTTATAGGTTGGGCTACTCGCTGCAAAGATCTGCGAGCCTATCCACATCCACACTGGCATTTCGCAGTAGACAGGGATATGGAATTTACAGTGTAAATGTGACCAAGTGTCTCTTGAGTAGGCAAAGGTCGACCGATTTCATCGAAACAAACCTGGATCTATAAGTGTCTGTTTTTGAACTTTTCAAATTGAGGCAAAAGCTATTTGAGCAGTTTTGTTTTTTGCAAATGGTAGCGGTGGAGGAATTTTACAAAAACCATAGCTGTTTCGATTCTTTTGATGCTCCGCACTTCTCGTTCTTTCTCAATTCTATATACTGACGTGTGTGAGGTGCGAAACTTCGCACCTCTTCGTAGACACTTGCACCTACGTCGCTTAATTACTCGTCATTTGGAGAGTCACTCGCCTCCAGTATGACACTTTTGATATCGTTGCCGCCTATTTTTTCTGATAATTTACTAAACGCAAATGTGATGATTTCTTACCGCTTTCCGACACTCTATTACACACTTGCGCTGAGTACATACGCCATGAGGCATAGATGCGCAAAAGATGGGAAACAGCAAAAAACTGAACAGGAATAGATTCATGTTCGTAGAAAGCAAAGGGCTTTTCCGCAGGCTGTGAAGTTCCAGAATCTGCAGTTTTAGGCACAAACCCTATCTTTTATATCACAAGTTTTATTTGTATATTAAGAACAAACATTTCTTTTGCTTTCTTGGTAAAATGGCATTTTTTATGGTTTTGTGACAGGCAGCAATATATCAGTTTTAAGCCTACAATGCATGCGGTTTGTCTCACAAAACGGACTATAGATGATTGCAGCGGGTTTATCAATGGAGAGATTCACGAATAACGAAAAATAAACGTGTTTTCCATGTTTTCCAAAGGCGACTCCCTCTACGTGGTCGTTAGCAGTTTTTGTGGTAGCTGTGTTTCATAAAAGGGAATTGAAGCTGTTAAGAAAAGGTTAAACCGATCAAATAAAAATGAAAGCTTACATATATTGCTGTACGTCACGAAATGACTAAACTTTCGAATAAGTGAATATGTGTTGAACTTTCGATAATCATGTGGTATGTCGCACCCAAGTGCCTGCTTGTTCTTTCACAAAGTGATGTGTAGCTAAAAAGGTGTCACTAGGTACTGAAAAAATCCCCCTCAAGTCACCTTTTGGTGAAAATATCAAGTTTGAAATCCAAGAAGCCTGAAATATAGGTTTCTCCGTACTACGGCTTTGTCATAGTAAAATATAAAAATTTAATCCGATTACCGCTTAAACATTGCAGGTCATGACTGAGGCTTTTATGGAATACATCAAGCTATAGGTGTGGTGCAGTGGCCGTATTCATCAACGAACCCCGAGGGTTAAATTAACCCTGGAGGGTTAGTTTAACCCTGGAAAGCATCTAACCCGTATTCATGAAACACAGGGTAGGCTTAACCCTGAGGGTTAAATCTAACCTTGAGGGTTAATTTTACCCCGAAAGCGACTAACCCGTATTCATCAACGAACCGGGAGGGTTAAATCAACCCTGGAGGGCTAGACTTATGTGATTCATCAGGGTTAATTTAACCCTAGCTCAGATCAAGGTTAACCTCTACCCTAACACTTCATACAAACATTTACACGCATCTAATAGTTTATGGAAAACGATCAACGAGTATTGTAGTATTTAGTATTAGTTGTTGTTATAGTATTTAGTTTCGACTTCGTTTTATGTTCATATTCCAAGTACATGAAACACTGACTTCGCGAGGAAAAGAATTCTAGGTTTGGTGACAAATGAATGCGACGAGGAAAAATGGCATTCCACTCTGACAAGTGCTAAAACAGAAGAACCCGTCTATAATAGCACGCATTGACCCCTAAAAGAGTAGCACAAGCCCGGTATAAAACGAACTGCGCAAAAGTAGAACTTACACTGCACAATTGCACACATGAAAATAAACTCACGCTGTAAGATTGGATGCTGCACAAGTATGCTAGAGATGTATTATAAAAACAGTGTTAGAAGCTTATTCGTTGACTATATTACTATAACAGTGAAAGAATAGAAGTATAAAGTGAATTTAGCCCGTACTTAGGCATTCTGTGAGTTTGCACAGCGCACGCGTAACTGACGCCTTAACCCTCCAGGGTTAGTTTAACCCTCAGGATTGATGAATACGGCCACAGGTTCGTTGATCGATACGGGTGGATCGCGTTCCGTGGTAAACCCTAGCCTATGGTTGATGAATACGGCCAATGAACCCTGAGGGTTAAACTAACCCTGGAGGGTAAGCTTAACCCTCAGGGTTCGTTGATGAATACGGCCACAGGTGTGTTTTTACAAGTTTCAAAGTGAACTCACTGAACCCACTGACGACAATGTGGACTACCGGCGGCTCATGCACTTTTTGCTGCCAAGAGTGATGTGAGGCACTGGTGGCTCACACCTCTTGCTGAGGCGTCCTTTCCAGTTCTAGCCTTTTTACAGTTTTTGTACCTGGGGCAGTCTATGGGCTTTTGGGACCTGTAGACTATCCCATTCAATAACTTTACAGATGTTTACAAAAACAACCTTACATCTAATAAACAACACAAAAGTTTCCACACCAAAATGCTGTGCAATATCGCGTCGTCTCACACCGTCACCAGAAAAAATCAGACGTCGACCTTAGTGAGTTATTGCCTGATGAAGAAATTAATTTGCACTCATTATCGAATTTATAGAAATTCGCACTTTTTTGTTTCCGACCTCAAATTCAGATCAAAATAGTCTTGTTGTTGTTGTTGTTGTTACCAGCTTGTTTGAACTTGTTTTGTATGTAGCGTCTCAAGTGCCCAAAAAATTAATGTTTAGTTATGCACTTTACATAAGAATTTGCATGATGATGGCAGTTCATATTGTATCTGCTGCACTAAATGGTGCGCGTCCATATTTATGATACGAAATTATCCAATCCTGTTTTCAACACAGCACTTGCTCGGCGATCGTTATTTCCAGCAAACAAGAAGCACGCCTTCACCCAATGAAACTGAAAACATTAAAGCGAAGCCGCAGCAACAAGATGTCGACCGCTTTAACATGACCGTGCGCAAAAAATAGAACGTCTTACCATCATGGTTTCCGTAGGGCACAAAAGACGTAAAAGAAAATTCGAATTTTTCTCATATATAATTAATACAAGAAAGAGAATTTTTGGACTTTATATGTAACATAACACGCCATGCAAGCTTTATCGTCAAAACATCAAATAGACGTAATATCGTAATGTTTCTCAAAAACAGATTTGAAATCGTATTTGTTAGTTTATGAGAGAAATATGACGAGCAATGACTGTGCTGTTCCATTTTTTACTGCCTGTGGTCGGTAAAGGTGTACCTTGAGAAGACAACATTATGCGGCGTCATTGCCCCACATAGTGATGAGGCAATGACGCCTGGTGTTGTCTTCTCAAGGCTTTTGAGAGATATCAGCATCAACTGTATCGTAATGGTTCCAACGCAAAATATTAGGTTGGTGCAAAAGTAGTGTAACGTTTTGAAAAGTTTTACTTGAAAAGCTATAAGTTCGTCCAGTCCTCGTATTTTTAAATATGATCAAGACCATTGAAAGCGGTAAGCTTAGCCACTTCTACTCGTACTGATATTATGCTCATACTGATATTGCAACGGGAAGAAGAACATGAGTCAAAAACCGAGTTTTTTTTAAACCTTGTTTTTGAAACCTTACAACTACCTTCATTTTGTAGCCCCAGCTAGTAGTAGAAGCATATATGGAAAACACTTCAACGAGGGATTCCTGCGAAAAGGAAAGATATAAATCCAAACTCGTCTACCTTTCTTGAGCATGTTTGTGGTTATGGTTAGGGTTGAAACTCCCAATTCATAAAAATTTAGAATTCTGCATGCACCGTATAGCTGAGTTTCTCTGCAGAAATTGTAGGCTAGAGGTCCTAATCTCAAGCTTACAGAAATGAGCAGCGACTGCCTTGACCATAGGAAATTTTTGACCCATAGGGTGCCAGCAGCAAGTGTTTATATTGACGCGTCGATATCTCAGTCTAGATATTTTCGAAAAATCTACCCAAACATGCGATAAATAATCATCCCCTACCGTAACTATGTTTTCAAAAGAATTCGTCCAATTGCGCCTGAACTGTGGCCTAGGAAGTAGAGGTATTAAAATTTGATTTTGAGTGCAGATGCGCGAAATACTAGTGATATTCTCACAAATGAGTATAAAAGCCTTAGTGAACCACTGTTGGAAAGTACGTAAAGAAAGATTTCCAATAATATGAAATATCTGCACCGAAAAAGAATTGATGGAAAAGTCGTCTGGAACATAGACCTGGAAAAACGGACATTATTTTTACACCAACCTAATAACTTCTGACTGCTCGGACGATCGTTCTCAGATCAGTCAGACAATGTAAAAAAACATGCGTAGAACTACGGAACTGTCAAAACTTGTTAATTTTGTAAATTTTTGATTATCAGGTTTTTGCGAATATAACTTGTCCCGTGTGTATTTTTCTGCTGCATGGTTTATTGATAGGACATACATTTACTCGCTTTCAACTGCCTGCGTGGTCATGGATATCTGAGTATATGAATTTATCTGATTTCGAGGGTGGGGTGATGTTTTTGCGGTGAGTGCGTCAAGTAAACGCGCCGAAGAACTCGTCAGTTCGGAGGCGCAACACCCCAGGATGCGGGGTTGGTAATGTAGAACAGTCGAGCACAGCTAGGGGGTGGCACCCACTGAGTCGTAACATGCTCGAAAACGTGAATAAGTTTCTTTGGGTAGGGGAACGAAAGCCGCCAGTTTGATCCGCCTTTCGCGGCCAATTGGTCCTTTCGCAATGTTGTTGCATGTCGTCCCAGGACCAGCAGTCCGCGGAGGCGGCCCAGAGGTAGCCTCCAGACCGCGCCGGGACGCGCCGGTTGTCGCTTTTGCAGCCAGTAGCTGCTTCCGCGCCGTTTGCCGCTATTGCAGCTGAAGCGCACAGTGTCGGATTTTGTCCTTGGGGCGTCGCGAGAGTCTATTGGCACTGAATGCTAGGCTTTTCAATTCTTTTGCCACCACTGTTTTGTTTCCAAGGTCCTCTTCTTTCCGTAAGTAGTTCACGGAGGTTCTACGATGCTGGAGTAATCGCATTGTTGAATACGCGTCTACCTCCTGTAGAGCTGTTTTTTAGGCAAAAAAAGTGATAAACGGCGTTTTGTCTTTCGTTCATTTCCAAGCTATTCTTTTATGGTGGCTGATCGATTTCGTAGAGAACAAAGTTTCTTTTTGTCTTTAGTTTTGAAGCTATGCTACATCTATCAAGAGTCACCGGGTTGCGAACTTTCCCTGAATGTAAGTGTAAACTTGTTGAAACTTCATGCAGCATTGTTCTTCGTACTCTCTCGTTAATTTTATCATTAAAATCAGGGAGAGCCCGCACTTGCCTCCACACAAATCTGAGAGCTCGTAAATCTTTGCGGACCGCTGTTTTTTTTTGCACAACTTTCGTTTTGATGATATTGCTCTGCTGTGTGATTGTGCAGGCATGGTTTTTGATGTCTTTTCCAATTTAAGGTTGGTCTACTATGCTGAGTGGACGATATCGTCGCAAAACGCTGTTTTTTGCACTTTCTTATTTT